GGTGGGGACGGTAGGTTGTATATTCGGCAGCAGTAGGCCGGCCGGACGCGCTTATTCGACTATGTTTAAACGTTAATATCTCGTTAAGTATTGTGCAATTTACAAAATGGTATAAGCATTTTCGATTCAATTCGGTCCTTCTACCTGCTCGTGATCGATTACCCGGTAATTTTCAAACACCCTGTATATATATATATACAGAGTCCCAAAAAAGTCGGGACAACTAAATATCTCGGGAAATATAAGTTTTACAGAAAAGTGTTTCAGACTAAAGTTATATGGTTTAAAAATATCTATTTACTGATCCTATCAGTTTGACCTTGGGTTGCGTAGCCAAGGTCAGGTCAAGGTTACATTGATTTTCTGAAATGGAGCTATTTTTGATTCAAGAATCTAATAGCTGATGTCGAGAGCTTTCCAAAACGCTATAATGAAATATTTTTTATGAAGTACTTTTCAAGTTATAATGCTTCAAAGTTACAGTATCGCCGGCATTAGCATTACCCAAAATATTTAATTTTTGATACTGGCCAGTCAAGGCGAGATCAGTCGGTGGTCCGTGAATCTTGATCTTCAGTTAATGCACAAACAAAAACATAACGCGTGGTATTACATATCTTGGGTAATGGTAGTGCCGGCGATATTGTAACTTTGAAGCATTATAACTTGAAAAGTACTTCATAAAAAAATATTTCATTATAGCGTTTTGGAAAGCTCTCGACATAGACATCAGCTATTAGATTCTTGAATCAAAAATAGGGTGTTCTATTTAAGAAAATCAATGTAACCTTGACCTGACCTTGGTTACGCAACCCAAGGTCATACTGATAGGATCAATAAATAGATATTTTTAAACCATATAACTTTTGTCTGAAACACTTTTCTGTAAAACTTATATTTCTCGATATATTTAGGTGTCCCAACCTTTTTGGGACACCCTGTATATATATGTATAGAATCATGTATGATATAAAATATAAGCTATTTTTTATATGACATTGTGAAATCTGTGTATAGTATAGGGAACAACGCTACTATTATTTTATTAATTGCTTAAAATCTTTAATACATGTATGATTAATCATTAATTTATTAATAATAGTTATAGATAATAATTGTGTAGTAATCACGATACTGGCAAGTACTATTACGGTGTTGATAGTAATTTACGTAACACGAGCAACAACAATGGCCGAAATGACAATGTTTTGATTCAGTTAAGGAAGTAGAGCGTAATATCAGTTGAAGCGCGAAGTTGTTTGTGATAAATCTGAAGCTGGCAAGCAATATAAATTCTCGTCTAGCACTCTAGTGGTTTGAACTGTACAGAATTGAAGAGTTTGTTGCAAAATCCAGATAAGTATATTTTAAATGTGTATTTCTCGAAACAACAAAAGCTATAATAATTAATTTTGATGCATTTTTATCATTATTTATTGTAGTATATACACAAATTTTTCTCCACATATTGTATACGGAATCTAATAAAATCAATATATAAATTTGTTTCAAGTGAATTGATTTAATTTATTAGCAATCACTTTAAAACCTTATTATTATTACGCTACATTAAAGGAAAAAATATAGTGGATTTACATGAAGTAATCGGAACTTATATGGTCTACTTAAGCTTTGTGATATTTCTAATTTTTTGCTAAGTACAAATTGTGAAAACTAATGGTTTAAAAGAAGAAACATTTTCAATAATTAAAAAAATAGAAGACAAATATTTATATGAGTGAAGATTTTAAGAAAAATTAACATTTAGGTCATATTGGGAACATATGTTCCGAGTATATGTTTACTCCTTTGTAAAAAAAGTGTTATAGAAATAGAAAATAAAATAGTCCAATGTTACTTTTATAAAATTGTAAGTTTATTAACATATTGATATATTTATTGATACGTAAGAATGCACGAAAAACTATTTTACAAACAATTGACCTATCTATTTATTTACTTGTCGACTAATCCACTCGACGTTTAGCATGTGAATTAGAAGCCATGGTCTAAAATAACAAAAGTACCGAAAATGCGTTATATGTACATGTATTATGCCTAGGTTAATAATATTGGTTTTACCTTTACAAAGTGTTTCTTCTTTTCAATTATAAACAAAACGTTGTGACACGAAAATATAAACTATTATACATACAGTGTTGAAATATGCAACGATATAAATTACGGAAATGAATAACCATCTTTTAGTAGTTATAAAAGGCAATTACTTACAAACCTACAAAATATTACATTCACGACCACGACGTTCTGTATTTTGCTTTACTGAACAAAATAATAGAACAAATTAAACTATAAACTATAAATACAATCAAGTCAAATGGTTAGCTGTACAACTAATTGGGTGATGGTAAAAATTCGTGCCAGATTAAAAAGAATGTATGTAAATTCAAGATAAGTTATTACAAAAACGAAGGACTCTTAATTTAAAAACAATAACGAGAGAATAAAGGGCACATAAGAGTCAAATATATAATAAAGTATATTAAAATATGAAAAATCAAAAGAAAATATGAA